AATACAGGAAGGATTAAAGAGCAGGTCACTGCTGTGGGCATCTGCACCCAATCCCACTCGGGACCTCTGGGAGACCACCTAGAGAGGCCTTGGAGTGGTCCAACCTGACAGAGAGGAATTGGGGTATTTAACCAGCATCCCCAGCCCTTGGAGCCTCTGACCTCTGACAGCCTCACCTCTCTCTCTCCCTCCTTCCCTCCCTTCCTTTCCCCATGTAGGTGGGCCCCTGATGCCATGTTTGTCCTGAGGCCCCGCCCACAGCCATACCTGACTAGGCCAAGGATAAATAGCTGGACATATGAGATTCACTCCCCTTGGATTCTGGAATTGGGTAGTGGATCTGGGCTTGCACTTGAACTGTGGACACCTAAGCTTGACAGCCTTTGTCTTAATCGATTTTACACTGCTGTAATAGAATACCATAGACTGGGTAATTTACAGTAAACAGAATTTTATTTGGCTCACAGTACTAGAGTCTGGGAAGTCCAAGAACATGGCACCGGCATCTGGCAAGGGATTTCATGCTCCGTGGAAGAAAGCAGAAGGCTAAGAGGGGTCCAAACTTGCTTTTATAACAAATGCATTCTGGCAACAACTAATCCACTCCCAAGATAAGGACAGTAATCCATCCAGGAGGACAGAGCCCTTATGACCTAATCACCTCTTATGAGGCCCCACCTCCCAACACTGTTGCATTGGGAATTTAGTTTCCAACACATGAACTTTGGGGGACACATTCAGACCACAGCATCTACGTTGGACCACGTGCTCTTGGAGAAGCAGAGAAAGGCAGTGTTTAGAGTGACACTCAGCACACAGAGAGACAGACAGAGGCAGGACCACACAACTTCAGGAAAACTGGAAGAGCAATCTCAGCACAGGACAGTTTAGTTTCTTTTTTTTTTTTTCCTTTTTGTCTTTTTTCGTGTCCGGCAACGGATCGCAACCCTCAGTGTCGCGCCCGCACCGGACCAGGACCGGCAACGGGATCACAACCCTCGGTGTTGCGCCGGCACCTCGCTCAGCCAGTGAGCGGGAACCGGTCTGTATGTGGGATCCGAACCCTCGGCGGGAGCACTGCCGCGCTCCCAAGCAGCACACTGCAGCAGTGCACCACCAGGCCGGCCCAAGTTTCTGATTCTATTAATAGGTTGTCATGAGATTGGGCCACATTTCCTGCAACTGAGTTCTGTGTGATAAGTGTTTCCTCGGAAAAACCTTTCTTTTCTGCTGAAGAAAGTCACCTTTCTGTAACTTGTATCCAGAAACACACACACACACACACACACACACACACATACCCTTGACTAAGAAATTCACCCTTCGAGCCCTCCAATTCCCATTCCATTCATGACCTGGCTCCCTACTTCACAAAGAAACAGAGAACATCATTCTCGACCCTCCACTCAGGTCATCACTATCTTTGAATGGCTCAACTTCTTCCATCTTAACTGCCCTTCCCCCCCAAATTTTCCCTGGACTCCCAAACCCCGGTTAAGAACCACTCTTGCCTCTCATTCCCCTCACAGCCAAGCTTATAGGAAAAGTAGTCCATGCCTGCTGTCTCTACTCTCTCTCCTCTCAGTCCTTATTTGCACTACTATTTTGGGGGAAGGTGTTCCATTTTGAAGATGTGATTTGAAGTGACTGCGGAATATTTAGGTTTGGAGGTTTATAGACTGCAGAGGTGTGGAGCTATGAAGGCAGTTTTGATCTGGAATATAGATTTAGCATTGAGTGATTTTTTTAAAAAGTAATATGCACATATGGTAAAAAGTAAAATAAAATTCAGACACAAGAAGGATAAATAAGTCTCTTGTCAAACACTGTCTAATTCCCTCAGTTCCCTCCTCAGACATCACTTTGTATATCCTTCCAGATGTGCCTGCTTCATGAGCGTGGGACCCATGCAGTCACATAGGGACCCATGCTTAGAAGGGACCTGAATTAGTTTAATGCTTTGTGGTCACCATCTTGAAATTCTTAGGTTTTGAATAAGAGACTCCACATTTTCATTTTGCACTGGTCTTCACAAATTATGTAGTAAGTCCTCCTACCAGCTATTTTCCATGCATTATTACACATATAATATACATATATGCCCCCTCCTTCCACCCACTTTTCTTTTAGCATTTGGCAATTCTTAAAAGAATGTGTGTGGATGAAATTTTCCAGGGAGAAGATGCAATAGTCATTCGTGCTGTTCACCAAATATTTCTGCTGCTTCCGTTTCTGGATACAGGGGGATATATGGTGGGATTGCATTTCCTGGCTCCCTAGTGGTTGGGTAGGACCAAGTGATTAGTTTTGACCAATGGGTAACAAGCAGAAGTGAATGTATCATTTCTAGGTTAGAGTATTTAATTGCTGCTGTGAGACACTCCAGATTTCTCATTCAAGAATTCGAGACAGTGGCTGCTCCATTAGCCTTGGTTTCTAAGTGACCACAGAGAGCAGAGCCTTCTGGGTGACCCATGATGGAAATGTACCGTGGATGAGAGATAAATCATCATTGTTTTAAGCCATGAAATTTTGAGGGTGCTTTGTTGCTGCAGCATAACCTACCCTGTCCTGACTGATAGAAACATAAAAAGTACTGAGACAGAATGTGCTGGAATAGGTATTTATGGGGAGAAGAGAGCTATAGAAATATAAAACAAAGAGTCACAGAGGTAAAAATGGGAAAACAGGAGAACATGGGACCCAGGCAAGTTATAGAAATAAAGGAAAGAAATTGTTCCAAGAAGCAGAGAGTGATTGATGATGTTGAATGTATCCAAGAGGTCAAGTAAAATTAGGAATAAAATACATCCATTAAATGTGGCAACTGAGAAGTCATTGATAACCTTATTGAGAACAGTATCCATGGTGTGGTGGTGGTGACGAAATAGTAAATAGAGGGCTAAAGAAGTAGAGAGGAAAGAGCATGAGAGATCAGTGCAAGAGTTCAGCAGAAAGGTGAGGAAACAGACGTCTTTGGGTGGGAAGGGCAATCCTGAAGTGGTTTGCCTATTCTAGACATTTCCTATAAATGGAATCATAAAAGATATGTCCTTTTGTGTCTGGCTTCTTTCTCTTAGCCCAGTGTTTTCAAGGTTCATCCATGTGGCAGCATGTGTCGGTACTTCATTCCTTTCTATGGCTGATGGACATGGAGTTGTTTGGTATTGATCCATTCATCAGTGGATGGACATTTGACTTGTCTTCCTGTTCACTGCTATATCCACTAGTTCTGAGTGCTCTTGGGAATGAATGAATGAATGAATGAATAGCATGAACAGAGCTATCCAAGGTCACAGAGTTGGTAAAATGTGAAGCCAGAACTGGAGGCCAGGCAACTGGCCCCCTGGAGCCTTTGTTCTAACTATTAGGATTTATTGCCCTAGCAGGAGTCCCATGACTGTCCTGTTTTTACAGATAAAGATTATTGTATCACTCAGAGTCCCAGCAGGAAAGTGACAGCATTCTCAGGTGGGGTAACTAATGATGGGACCATTTACAAAGGCGTGGGCAGAGTTAAGAAAAAGCAATAAGGTATAGTGAGCTGCCTGGAGCTGGCAACAATGGGGAGCCCTCACCACCCCCAGGCCTGAAAGAGGAAGTGGGGCCCACAGACCTCACCACTTTGCAACTGAGGCGGGGGGGGGGGCCATGGGGATTCACATCCAACCTCACTGCTCTCTAGTCTCCTGACCTGGAAGCCATGGGGAAGGTCTGCCCCCAAGGCAGCTCAGATGAGTGAGAAAGAACAAATTAGCTCAGACTGGAAAAGTAAAAATCTGCCTGGCCTCTGAACAGGCTGGGACAACAGAAATGGATAAACTCAGCGGCAAAGATAACAGGGAACAACATTTCTCTGTAGCTGTAAAGTGATAATACTTCTCCCCCCCCATGTTTGAGTGACTGCTGCTTTCTTAATGAGAAACACCATCTTCTAAGATCATAGACTATCAGACTTTGCTATTTGAAATTACATGACTAAGGATGAAATATTCCACTTTGTCTGGAGGATCCAAGTCACCTTTATACAAAGTAGCAGCCTCGATTTGCAACTCAGATAGAACTTCAGATAAAAGGTTTCTGGACACGACATTTGAATCTATCTTAGCTTGACTGCTTCCAAGGAAACAGGGCCCTGTGTCCCCTTGGCAATCCAGATTGAAGTTGACCACTTTATACAACCTTGCTTTGCTTTGAGCCTATCAAAACATGATTTCGTTTAGATTTCATCTAAACTCCCTCTTCCTCAGAATCCTGTAATAACTCTATCTCTTCCTTTGTTTGGTGATGTCCTGTGGCTCCTCTGGAGAGTGGCCTCCCTCATTGAATGGGTCAATAAGTCTAATTTTGTTGGACTGCAACTTTGTTCTTGGTGGTCTTAGGCTGGTTGGGCTAGGTCATGGGTCAACATCCTGGGATACAGAGCAGGGTAGAGAGTAAATCTAGAGGGTCAAGCAGGAAAGATCTAGCATAAAGCCCCCCCCATCCCCCTGGCAAATCCAATTCCCCCCACCATCTGTTGACCCAAGTCTGGTAAAGAGCAGGGGAAGGCCGGGGGGTGGGGGCGGGGAGACCTTCATTATCCAGTTGTCCTATACATCTGGGGCTGAATAAAGGGTTGTAGAAATGAATGAATCAAGCTCTGAGTGGGGCTTGAGGCAATGGAAAGATCTAGGCCCTTTTCTGAGGCACAATGGAAGCACTGGATCTCATGATATTTAAAGGGCTGCCCCTTTCTCCCAGCCAAAATGAGTCCAAAAAAGTGAAAGGACAAGGGGGAAAGGGAGAATTCTAAAAATGCCCGTCCTCTGAACACCACCTTTGTGTAGGCATCTGGGGGTGGCCAGCTGGGATGGGGCCATCTGCCAGCTAGGCCTGCAGAACTTGGCTCTTCTTGTTTATCCCAGCCACATTTGGGGCAGCTGCCAAGGCCCGCCCCCGCTCTGCAGGCATTGGATGAACTCAAAGCTAAAGGCTCCTGCTAAGAATCAGTGTGTTTCATTTTGCTGTTAACTGGGGGGTTGGCTGTGTCCGTGTCTGGGAGGGTTGAGCCCTGGTCCAGCCCAGAGCAGGAAGTGAGCCTCTCACCATGCCAGCCTGCTGTAGCTGGAACGATGTCTTCCAGTATGAGACAAACAAAGTCACCCGGATCCAGAGCATGAATTATGGCACCATTAAGTGGATCTTCCACATGATCGTCTTTTCCTATGTTAGGTAAGTGGGGTGTGGAGAGGATCCCAAATCTCTGCAATGGTTGACAGCACAGGAAACCTCTAGGTACAGCTTCAGGTGCACATCCTGAATTTCACGTTGTCGTTTTCAAATCTGAGACGTGCTGTCACAGCAAGCTGCTCAGGTGGCAGGAAGCAACAGGTGGCAGGAAGCCGAGCCAGTGTGCTCCAGAAAGAAGTCATGGGAGGCAAGTATGACTCCTCTCAGCCCTACCCTAGGCCTGCCAGGGTGAGCAGGGCAGGGCATGCCTGGGGAAGGTGGGAAAATGCAGAGCAACACCCTGGATTCCCAGGGAGGAGGCAAGGATTCCAGGGCACACCTAGTGATATTGCTGGTGTCTGAGTCATCGTGCTTAGGGAGAGGAATAGGACCAGGCTTGTAAATATGACTGGGTCCTCTCCAATGTCGAGAAAGCTCCCATGCACTTTTTTAAAAAGCAGCTTGAGATATAATTCATGCACCATACAATTCACCCATTTAAAGCCTACAATTGAATAGTTTTTAGTATATTCACAGAGTTGTGCAAGCATCATCACAATCAATTTTATAATATTTTCATCAGCCCAGAAAGAAACCCCCTACCCCTTAGCCATCATTCCTGCCCCTCGCATCCCTCCTCAGCTCCAGGCACCCACTAATCTACTTTTTGCACTCTTTCATATAAATGGAACAGTATAATATATGGTCCTTTATGTCTGGCCTCTTTCACTTAGAGAGTGTTTACAACATTCACCCATGTTGTAACATGTGCCAGTACTTCATTCCTTTTCATGGATGAATAATATCCCCTTGTATGACCACTTTTATTTATCCATTCATCAGCTGATGGACATTTGGGTTGTCTCTCTTTTTGGCTATCATGAATAATGCTGCCATGAACATTTGTGTCAAGGTTTTGTGTGGACATGTTCTCATTTCTCTTGGGTATATACCTAGGAGTGGAATTGCTGGGTCATATAATAATTCTATGTTTTACCTTTGGAGAAACTGTGGGGCTGTTTTCTACAGCACCTGCACTTTTTACGTTCTCATCAGCACAGTATCTCCACACCCTCATCAACACTTGTTATTGTCTGTCTTTTTGATTGTAGCCAACCTAGTGTATGTGAAATGGTGTATTAGTCCTTTTGGTGTTGCTATAACAGAAATACCTGAGACTGGGTGATTTACACAGAAAAACAGAATTTATTGCTTACAGTTTCTGAGACTGGGAAGTCCAAAGTCCATCTGGTGGTGGTGACAGTGACCCAGGGGTCTCACATTGCAAGATGGTGGAAGCAGAGAGAGCAGAGATAGCAGAGAGAGAGAGAGACAGACAGACAGACAGACAGACTCTCCTTTGCTTTTAAAGCCCTCAGAACCATGCCCTGACCACCGTTTTTAATCCACTCACTATTGCATGGTCCTATAATCCAATCACCTCTTCAAGGCTCCACCTTTCAATTACCATAATAGGATTTCCCATCCTCTTAACAGTCACAGTGGGGGCTAAGTTTCTAATACATAAAACTTGGGAAACAATTCAAGCTTCAATGAGTTTTGGGGGGACATAATTCAATCCACTACATTCCACCCCTAGCCCCCCAAATTCATGTCCTTTTCACGTGAAAATTCATCCCCATTCGTTTCATCCCCAAAGTCCTAATTTGTCTCAATTCAAAAGTCAATAGCTCGAAGTCCCATCTGTGAAATCAATACAAGTTATCTATTTCCAAGATACAGTTGTGGGACAAACATAAGGTACATATTCCCATTCCAAAAGGGAGAAATAGGCCAAAAGAAAGGTGTAACAGCTCCCAAACAAGTCTGAAACCCAACAGGGCAGGCATTAAATCTCAAGGCTGGCGAATCAGGTACCTTGATTCCATGTTCGACCTCCTCTGCATGCGGGCATGGGGGTTGGGTCCCCAAGTCCTCTGGCAGCTCCACTCCTGTGGCTTTCCTGGTCTCAAGTGATGCTTTAGTTCTTGCAGGCTGGCATTGTACACTGGTAGCTCCACAGACCTGGGGTCTCCTTGGCAGTCCTGCTCTCATGGCTCCACAAGATATGGCGCTGATGGGGTTTCTCTGTTGCAACTCTGACCCCATGTTTCCACTCAGCATTGCTCTAACAAAGGTTGTCTGTGGTGACTCCACCCCTGTGACAGATCTCTTCATGGGCCCCCAGACTTTTCCATACATCCTCTGAAATTGGGGTGGAGGCTCCTAAGCCTCCACAGCTCTAGCATTCTGCAATCCTGCAGACCTAACACCACATGGATGCCACCAAGGCATCCAGCTTGTATTTTCCAGAGCTGCACATCCAGACACACCTGGGACCAATTTACCCACAGCTGGAGCAGCCAAAGCAGCTGGGGTGCTAGTGCTGGAAGCAGCTTCTAGAGGTGGCCCTGGGCAGCAAACCTGTGGAGGGTGCCTTGGACCTGCTCCCTGAGACCATTTTGACTCTCTAGGTCTTTGGGCCTGAAATAGAAGGGTTGGTCCCAGAGGCTTCTGCAGTGCCTTCAGGGCCTTTCCCCCTCTTCTCTTGATAATCCCATTCTTTTTCACTCATCTTCTTAGTACCATTGGATTTTTCTTCTGAAGATGCTCTCTTCTGCTCTACCACATGGCCAGGCTGCAAATTTTCCAAATCTTTACACTCTGCTTCCCTTTTAAATTCTGGCTTTATGTTATATCTTTGCTGCCATAAATCAGCATAGGCTGTTAGAAATAACCATGCAGCTTCCTTCATGCTTTGCTGCTTAGAAATTTCTTCTGCCAGATACTCTGGTTCACAACTCCTAAGTTCCAACCTCCACAAAGTACTATACTAGGGCATTGACACAATGATGCCAAGTTCCTTGCCAGTTCATAGCAAGGGTGATCTTTGCCAAAGTTTCCTAAAAACTCCTTATTTCTATCTGAGACCTCCTTAGAATGGTCTTTACAGTCCATATTTCTATTGGCATTCTGCTCACCACCACATAACCAGTCTTTAAGACATTTCAAACTTTCCCTCATTTTCTTGTCTTCTAAACTTTCACCAGCATCTAAGCTTGTTCTAGCTTGTTCCTCCAAATTCCTCCAGCCTCTCCTCAACACCCAGTTCCAAAGCTGTCTCCACATTTTCAAGTATTTGTTATAAGCATCACCCCACTTCTCTGGTACCAATTTTCTGTATTAGTCCTTTTGGTGTTGCTATAACAGAAATACATGAGACTGGGTGATTTACACAGAAAAACAGAATTTATTGCTTACAGTTTCTGAGACTGGGAAGTCCAAAGTCCATCACCATGGAGACAGTGCCACAGTGCTAGTTTGTGGCTATTAAAATGTAGCTCCTGGCTAGCTGCCTGTTCACCCCAAGGGTGGCCACACATCCGTGAGGCAGGGCCTTTCAGCCCCTATGGCCCCTGCCATTTTCAGGGGAACAGGAACAAGACGAAGGAGCAGATAATATGGATTATTCACAGGACTACTCACGTGTCAGATGGCTGGCTGTATAATGCCAGAGAAAGGGAGGACAGGATGCAGCTGGAGAAGCCAGCAGGGGCCAGATGATGGACAGCCTTGAGTTGTAACCTGAGGGCACCAAGAACACATAAAGAGTTATTCTTCCCAACATTTTATTATGGAAATTTTCAAACATACAGAAAACATTAAGGGCTTGATGCTTATATTTTCATTTTAGAGAGATCATTCTACTTGAAATATGATAATGCCTATTGAGTAGTGTTGAGTGCTTAACATGGGCCAGTTCTGGGTCTTAGCCTGTGACATGCATTAGCCTATTTGGTCCTCACAAATAATCCTATAAGATTGGTTCTCAGAGTGGGGAATCATGATTTGAACAGCCTAACTAGACTTGGGGAAATCCCCATGTTTTGCTCTCCATCTCTCACTATATGTCACAACTTAATTTCCCAACTTCCCTGGCAGCTAGGATATCATGAGACCCAAGTTTTTCAAATGCATGCACTGCGCAACACTATGATATACAGGGAACCACACGGGGTAGTGGGGGTGAGCAGAATGTGGGGGGGCTGTATTGCCCTTTGACCTAGCAAAGGGACCCCCTTCTCTGGACCCCATGCTTTAGAGGGCCCCTCTCTGTCTGTCTGTTGACTGTGAGCTTCCCTATTTGTTACACAACAATAGAAATTAATATAGCCCACAGACCTAAATCAAAGGTCACTGGACTGAGTTCTTATTTGAGGACTCTGGAGAAACATTCACTTCCAAGTTATCGCTGTTGTTGGCAGAATTCAATTCCTCAAGGTTGTCGAACTGAGAGCTTTGGTTTTTTGTCAGCTGTCAACCAGGGGCCACTCTCAGATTTCGAAATCCATCCACATTCCTTGCCATGTGGCCTCTCCATCTTCAAACCAGCAATGACTCAATGAACTGTTTTGGGCTTCAAATCTCTAACTTCTCTTCTAGGATCAGTCTAAGAAAACTTTCTGCTTTAAAAGTGCTCATGTGGTTTGGTCAAGCCCGCCAAGATAATATTCCTGTTTGAGAGGCAACTATACCATATAACACAACCTTATCCCGGGGATAAAATATCCATCATACTCAAAGTTCTGAGGATCATGCAGGGGGTGTACACAAGGATGCAGGAAATGCTAGAGGCATCTTAGAATTTTGCCTGTCATGGCAGAATGTGTCTCTCACCCAGAGCTGCAGTCATATCCCACAGTGCTCTATGTACCCAGGACCCTAGAATTCTCTTCCCAAATGGCCCTGAGCCTCTTTTCAGATTAATCCTCTTGAAAGCAGACCACAGCACCAGTGGGCATGTTTCTAGGTCCAAGGGGTGGCCAAGGGGCAGCTGTTTACAGGTGGAGGGTATAGAAGGAGCTTGGGCATGTGGTCTGAGGCATCCACACACATGTGTGTGGAAGGATCCAGAAGTGAGACGAGAAAGGGGGTGGGATTCAAGCCAGGATCCTCTTCAACCAGCACCTGCATGTGCTGGCACAAAATTCTGAAGACTCCAA